AATATCTTTGTACATCAGGCACTAAACTGTTTTATTGTAGAGATCACTTACAGTATCTTCTTGATTTTTTATATTCTATATTTCTATCATTGACCTTCTACTTTCCCCCTATGAAAGTATGTACTCTTAATATTTTATTCATCAAATAACATTATTCAACAAAAATAACATTATTCAACAAAAATAATTAAATAACGTGCTTTAACCACTAGGCGGTGCACACAAGGTACACACAGTATACTAATAATAACTTTGTATTACTAGTGTAGGACACTTATGTATGTATAACATCTGAAGATGTGTAGTTTTATTCATGTTTTTACATAATTGTACAGGATATTGCTATATTATTTCTCATGTTTACTTCTACACATTAATATCTGATTTGTAAAACATCACAGACAGAAAGGTATATCCGTCATTTAATGGTAAGCTATTGAAATTGTGATTCCATAGATGTGTCTCCCATCACCCAAATCCCCTGACTATTCTCTCAACTCAGTATTTACATTCTTATATTCAAAGAAAATCAGTAATATCTTTAAAAACTACAAGTCCTTTTCTATCAGCTGTGCACCGTTATGGTGTAAATATAACCTATCTACCAATTGGATCAAATATAAAAGTCAGCCGTATTAGTATTGATACTGCAAGGAGACGTATTTTGTGAAAAGAAATGTAAGATGTTGTTTAATTGTTGATATATTTATGATCCACGTCACGTATTCAGTTTCGGCGGCAGTTCTTCCTGTTTGTCCAGAAGTCTTCTCATCAGGGCTCTATAAATAAAGAACTATGGCAGATGTGTAATATTTAATGCAGCCGAACCGTGTATTACAATGCCGTTATGTGATGACTTTCAAAGAGAAAAGCAAGAACACTCGGAATAAAGTATTATTATTATTATTTTTTTTAATGTTTTCGGATTTCACATCGCATAAACACCATATCCCAACGTGCATTGCGGCTAAAACATCCAATCAGCGAGCTGAGGATCTTTCCTACGTCTGTTTCCGGTATTGTTCCTGTAATGAGAGTTCACATTTATGCTACATTGAAGGGTGGAATTGACTACACATCTTCAGAAACATAATTTGCTTCAGATATATACTGTAACTCATAGCAATATTGTAACCATTAAGAAAAGCCAACTGCATTAAAAACCCAGTTAACAAACACAAAGTTTTTTCCTTCAGTATTGAAGATGTAATTCCAATGTAGACACACCTGGGGTCGCTGTTCAGTCTGTTACGCTGAGCCATGCATTGTCTGGAACGTAAAAGGGACGAAGAAGACAAAGTGAAGTGACGTACTTCCGGTTCAATGTGAAAACATTCCCAGTTAAACCATAGATATATATAAAAGCATATGTTTATATATATCTATGAGTTAAACAACATAAACAAATCGCTTAATAAAAAGATAAAACACTGGCATGTAATTGACGTTTGGATTAAATAGAATGGTTTTGAATAATAGATGAGAGTAAAATCTACGTCACAGCCCCACCCACTTTTGGGGAAACCAACGCTGTCATTTGAACGGCGATCAAGCCTGAAGCCACAGAGCTCTTCTGCTGTCCTTAGAGGAAGTTTGAGGTGTTTGAGGTGCAATAAACGACACAGCAGCTTTTTGGCATGTTAAAACTCTGCCTCGCAGCTGGCGAAATTACAGCCTCGCCTACTGATTTTAATTTAACCATAGGATATCAAGCCCGATCGTCGATTTCAAATGTGTGCTCTAAAATGATATTAATAAATGACTATTATCATTATTATAAGCTAGAAAAGAAATGTCAAAGATAGGTAGAAAGCAAACGTATTTAAGATATGTTCAGAACAAACGTAACGTGGGACAAAAGACGTTTCTTGTTAAACGTAATTGAGAATGCTGTATGAAACGACTACAAACAATATTGTGATTATTAACCATTAACCAGCATAATAACGGATTTGGTCAACTGAAAAGTCAGCCGCCAGCCAGCGCGAAAATAAGTTTGCTCTAAAATGATATTAATAAATGACTATTATCAATATTATAAGCTAGAAAAGAAATGGCAAATATAGGTAGAAAGCAAACGTATTTAAGATACGTTCATAACAAACGTCATGTGAGAGAAAATAGGTTTCTAGAAGATATGTAGAAAATAAACGTATTTAAGATATGTTCATAACAAACGTAACGTGGAAGGAAATACGTTTCGCAAGAAACGTATTTCAGAATGCAGTTTAGTTTTGTGGGAACGTAATTTCTAGGAGACAGGGTTGCAACCGGAACACTTGTTTCTACAGCAGTTTGCTGTTGTTTCAATATGTTTCATGATGATTAGCCTATTTGTAGCCATTTAATGCTTTGCTAGTTTCACAGTGGCTTCACAAGACTCAAATCAATTTAATTTGAATTGCTTACTCAGCACAATCATATTCACTCACAATGAACAAATTGGCCGAGATGATTTATCCAATAGTCAATGATTGACTCAGGAAAGAAGGGTAGAAGATCAATCTGTACGTCAGGTTACAGCTGCATGTACTCAATAACACACAATACGGATCAGAGGAGTGTGTATAGGCAGGGGTGTCCAAACTACGGCCTGGGGGCCAATTGCGTCCTCCTGTCCATTATGAAATGGCCCTCAGTTATTTCTAAAAGTATAATGGAACATGGCCCAAACGAGTATGCTTGACTTATATTGTAATTTTCTAAGAAATCTTAGTTGATCAAAAAAAGCCCAATAACTTATTTGCATAACAAGCTTGAAATGTACCCTTCCTATTTCCCCTTATTATAAGCAATCTGAGGCTTCTATTTTAAGGGATGAGCTGAAAACACTTTTTGTAACAAAATGAAAATAATAAAACCCCTGTTAATTGAAAGCTGTTTTTTTCTTAAAGCATTTTCAATTATAATAATGTACCTATACGTTTGATTGATTTTGCTAACTTAACGAGTGAGTGGCCCAGCCCTTCGTATGTTTTTATGTATGTGGCCCTAAAAAAGTTTGGACATCCCTGCCGTAGGGTATCATATGGGGCTCGGTTGGGGGCTCGTATTATAGCATTTCATGTGATGAAGAAACACTGATGAACTTACTGTGCAGTGCAGTTTATTAAATGCTCTCAGTTGTCTTTGCAAACTAAGAAGAAGTCATTTGTTGTGATTAAATAACACAATGTCTCTTTCAAACTCCCTGACTCAGCCGCAGCAGGCGGAAATATCCCAGAAAGCAGTGTTTCATTTCAGGGAAAGCTCCACGCTAAGATTTCATTTATTGATGTCTGAGGGCCACCAGTCCACAAAAGCATCATACTGTATTACCAAGAATTACGCTGGCACATTGTGATATCCAGCCGACTCATCAGGTGGGATCTTCAGGTGGACAAACACTCCCAGTTTTGTTTGTTGCAGGTCTGCCGTCCTGATAAAGGCCTACAGTAGGCTATATGTGGTGTGGGATGGAAAATCATAAGGGGTAGTAGTTTAATTTATTCTCAACATTACAACCTAATTCTCTGATAGATATTGGAATATTAAAGTTGAAGAAATTCTTTTAATTAATTAATGAGTCTTCTAATATATATACTTTGTATTTTGTTTTGAATAATTCGACAGCAATTACGCAATTTTTTCTCAGATTCTTGACAGACTAGCTATATTATGTCGTTTTTTTCCTCATATTTTTGATATATATTTGGTGATCCCAAGAAGGCGGCGCATGCAGACGCAATGGCTAATCACTGTCCCGATAATCTATTTTTTATTTTTTTGGGATAGTGATAAACAGAATTTCGATTTCCCTGTCTGTCCCCATCTCTGCGCCTCAAAGAGAAAAGGAAAAAAAAACAGCATTTACATTGAGGCCACAAGTCTGAATGTCATCTTCTAAGAACATCTTAAGATGGATCAGTACAGACTAGTCACTCAACTCCAAATATTATTCAATTTTTTCCAAAATTTCTCTGACACTAAGCCAAATGGTATGGCATATGGAAGCCCATTTCTGACACGAGGAAAAAAAAATGGTACGTAATTATGACTCTTTAAAATGTATGACATAACATCTTAAAAAAAAGGACCACTCATTGGTTTGACTTTTTTACTATGTCATTATTATGAATTACCACCATTTTTTGACTTAGTATCTCACCTTGCCAACGTCTTATTTTGAATTCCTTATTACTTAATATAATTTACTGAGTAATAAGGTCGTATTTATAATGGACATTTGTGGAATGATCTTTTGATGCGTCGTCGGAGGGCTTGAATAATTGCAGCAGCAAATCACTAGCTCAACGTTAGCTAGGGATAGCAGTTGGTATTCAGCAACAGACACCACGATAAAACATTCTGACAGATATAATAACCCAATATCTTCTATCCGGCTCAAGCGCCATTTTGTCTATTGTATTGTACACCTCTTTTAATCCTATGACAGTTGTTCAGTGGGCATGAAGCCAAAATGGCTGACTTCAGAACAAAAATATACTTTCTTACTATTTTTATATCCCATGTCATTATTTTGGGATTGTTCTTATATACATATATTTTTTCAGTGACAGAAATGTGCTTACATACCGTTTAACTCAAGCTAATAAATGAAAGCACTAAATAATTTGGTCATAGTTCAGTTCAGGAACAACACGATGTAGCACCAAATCATAACTCTTTTATTAAAATCTATCTTCACATTTGATGTTATAACATCCCAGTACACGCATTGTAACAGTGAACAGTTCCTTCAAAACAATTAAGCTTCATATCAAAAACAGGATTTGTCAAATTCAGTGCCTTTAACTGGTCACTGTTCTGTTTCATAACAAATGAACCTTGCAACTTGAAAAAAAGAGTGAACAAAAGACACAAGATAAGAACATTGATATCGAAAGCAGGAAAGAAGAACAGAACGTGTAAGAACACAACAGACATTTAAGAACAAGGCGGGACAAGAACTGTTATCATTATGCGACATTCAGAGGAACTACTGTGCCATCCTTTAAAACTGTTGTTTTATTGAATAAATAAGCAAATTGTAAATAATTCTACAATGATGCTTTTGAAGAATGTTGACCACGCCCTAACTAACTGTTGCATATGGGGAGAAAACGTTGGGGTGGGCGTCTAGGCCAGGTCCTCTTCGCCTTCATCCTCAAACTCGCCCTCCTCCTCAGCGGTGGCGTCCTGGTACTGCTGGTACTCAGACACCAGGTCGTTCATGTTGCTCTCAGCCTCTGTGAACTCCATCTCATCCATGCCCTCGCCGGTGTACCTGAAACAAGGAAATATTACTCACTACATATAACTTTCAATCTTTCCTGACATTTATTTGTCCAAACGATTCATCTTGAAATACGTAAACCCTCTATCACTCACCAGTGGAGGAAGGCCTTGCGGCGGAACATGGCGGTGAACTGCTCTGAGATGCGCTTGAACAGCTCCTGAATGGCCGTGCTGTTGCCGATGAAGGTGGCGGCCATCTTGAGGCCACGGGGAGGGATGTCGCAGACGGCAGTCTTCACGTTGTTTGGGATCCATTCTACGAAGTAGCTGCTGTTTTTGTTCTGCACATTCAACATCTGCTCGTCTACTTCCTTCATGGACATGCGGCCTCTGAAGATGGCGGCGACCGTGAGGTAGCGGCCGTGGCGTGGGTCACAGGCTGCCATCATGTTCTTGGAGTCGAACATCTGCTGGGTGAGCTCAGGAACCGTCAGAGCCCTGGGGAGGACACACCATCCGATAAAGATTTATTTCAAAATGCATTTGTTAATGTGTTGTTTTAAGTGAAAAATATATATAATCGTCTTAATCACATTTACATGTATTTGGGGGGGGGGGGGTAAAAAAAAAAAACGTGTGGTGCTGTAATTCATGACAAACTGGTAAGAGCGCAATACATTTAGCTTGTTCCAATTTTTCCCTTTGTTTGCCTTTTCAAGGCGAGGCAATTATTGTTAGAAATCAACAATGGAAGTACGGAAGGATATTGAGGCCAAACCTGCTTTACATTCATTTTATGTTCTCTAGAAAAATTACAATTCTTAATGCTTTTGTATATATATCTACCTGTACTGCTGGCTACCACGGCTGGTCAATGGGGCGAAGCCGGGCATGAAGAAGTGCAGCCTGGGGAAGGGCACCATGTTGACAGCCAGTTTCCTCAAATCAGCATTGAGCTGGCCGGGGAAGCGCAGACAGGTGGTGACACCGCTCATGGTGGCTGAGACGAGGTGGTTGAGGTCTCCGTAGGTGGGGGTGGTGAGCTTCAGTGTGCGGAAGCAGATGTCATACAGCGCCTCATTATCAATGCAGAAGGTCTCATCTGTGTTCTCCACCAGCTGGTGGACGGAGAGGGTGGCGTTGTATGGCTCCACAACTGTGTCTGAAACCTGAGGTCGGGGGAGGGAGAAGGATTTACATTAAGGCAAGAAATAAGACAAGAAACATAGTTAATGTTGTAGTATTTTGGTGTATTATAAGCACCTTGGGGGAAGGCACCACGCTGAAAGTGTTCATGATGCGGTCTGGATACTCCTCTCGGATTTTGCTGATGAGCAGCGTGCCCATGCCCGAGCCGGTTCCTCCACCCAGGGAGTGTGTGAGCTGGAAGCCCTGCAGGCAGTCGCAGCTCTCCGCCTCCTTCCTCACCACATCCATGACCGAGTCCACCAGCTCGGCTCCCTCAGTGTAGTGACCCTTAGCCCAGTTATTACCAGCTCCGCTCTGGCCTGTGTCACATGCAAACACACAACTCTATCAAAGCTGTGACATCAGCACATCCTGGGTCTACATTAAATAGGATTTCATTGGTCAAATGTTAAAGAGTGAAGAGTAGGGATGGGTATCGCGAACCAGTACTAAGTCAGTACCGGTACCTGATTGGACGGTATTGGCATACCGTTAAGCCACTGGACAAATGGTGCTGCTATCGGTATATGAATTACGCTACTTCCTTAGTTTAAACAATTCTGGTTGGTTCGGAACCCTCATCCCGTGTGACGGATCCGGTTTGATTATCACTCTGATTGGCCACTGTGAATGCCACTCGTCATCTCTCCTAACAGCGCTCTTATTATTGTGAGACTCCCGGGGTCAGACGCAACATCTTGCAAGAAACAGCGTCTCAAGGCTTCTTAACATTTAACAACCTATTAATGATGCACTTAACGGTAAGAAACTCAGCTCACAGACGATATTAACCATTTTACCTACACGGAACAGAATTCCAACACCAAGAGTCTAAATCAACACTTAGCAAAACGGGCTAACGGCTGCTTTAGCACATAACTGGCAAAAGCTTCCGGTTTAGGAGGTGCGCACGCAGCGTCTCGTTTTAACTGAATAATGGTCATGTATACATGGATTTATGAACTGCCCCTAATTACCACCCCCCTTCCAGAGACACACTGTCAAACACTCATACCTGCTTGGTATGACATTGAAAAAAAGTTACATTAAATAAATAAAAATGTCAATAAAATGACTGTTGTTTAATCTTCACATCTTGTAATCATGTCTATAATTTTGAGCACCAAATTATTGAAAAGTATCGAAAAATACCGGTATCGATAACTAGTATTGGTATCGATAAAATCCTAACGATACCAATCCCTAGTGAAGAGTGACTGTAGATCAGGGCTGCACAATATGCGGAAAACATACGATGGCATGGCTTTATGTAAAACTAATAAATGTAAGTTAAAAAATTAAGCAGCAATAAAAAAATAATGATAGTTGCAGTAATGCAGTTTTATGTTCAAAGTCTGTGAACTCATTCAAAAATACTTAAATGCAATAATTCAGCCTTTCACAATGTGTATATCGCACAAGACGACAAATTATTTTTTGGAATATATTGTTCAGCCCTAATCCAGTTGCTTAATCACAGTATGGCAACTTCAATAACCCAAGTTAAAACACAAGACATTTTCATATTCTCACCAAAGACAAAGTTGTCTGGTCTAAAGATCTGGCCGAAGGGACCGGACCTCACCGAGTCCATCGTGCCGGGCTCCAAGTCCACCAGCACGGCCCGGGGGACATACTTCCCACCTGGTGATTCAAACACAAGACGACATTATTTATATTAAGCATTTTTTTTTCTTAATAGCTGCATTATAATTATTCAAGCAAAACCATGTTAATCTTTTTTCATCAAAGACTTTGCTTTCTTAAAGTATGACCAAACACAGTAAAAAGCATATTGTACGCTCAATTATATTTTATAATAGTTTGTCTGGCATTAATACAGTCCAGTCTCCTTACAGCACAAGGTTAGCCAGGGGTTAAATTGGGATTGTCTATGGGGGGCTCTGTGTCGAGGTGCGGGCGTGGTCGCACATCACATAATCTGCTACTGTATCAAATGCGCACATTGATGCCACCAAATGAGACAAAAAAGTATTACAAATAGGACCGTCTTTCTAATAGTGACATTAAACTTGAATTAATATACATCTTAAATTATTAATATATACACAAAAATGTGTACGTGCTTTGTATTGGTCGGCGTAGCTTAAAAATATTTGTTCGAAAATCTCAGCATTTACAGTATGCTGTAAATCTCACGATACACAATTTGATCATAACCACATTCGGTGTTATGACTGATCATAACTCAGCTTTAAGCACAGGCATACATATAGCCAGGGGTGCACATAACTGGTACGCAGGTACGCATGCGCGGCACAAATCTGAATTGCGTAACGTCACTTGTGTCACTACGCGCCTTTGCGTACCTCAAAACATCAAAACAAAACACATATTTCGTCTACACGTGTTTCTTGTCAACACTCAATGGAGTAAACTACTAGGCATGTCAAAAAACCCAAAGACATTAAGCAGCTACGTTGCCGTTTCGCTCCCTGCAAAAAATCTTTCTATGACTGATTGAACTGGAGCTGGGTGAGCCGCGCAGGACATAACCGACGGACCTGTGAAGCTTTCCAGGAGGCACAGGCTTAGATCACTGGACGACAGAGTTGGTCGCCGTGTGCACAGACAGGGTTAACGTCGGTATAAACAACAGAATTGTGCCAAAAGTCCGCCAACTGGCTGCGGTGGGAGACTCCCCTGTGCACATTCTGTGCCCCGCGCACACACTGGAGAACTGCGCAAAATCATCTGATCACAACGTTCACGCTCTGTGGTCAAGCTGCTGCAGTTTTATTTACACCAAAGTGGAGTGAAACACACAGCTGCAAACTTACTCAGGGTGTTATGGAAGAGTTTGAAATCAGACAGAGGTGGAAGAAGTACTCAGATCTTGTGTAGGAATACTCAGTTACAGTAAAAGTCCTGCATTCAAAATGTTACTCAAGTAAAATTAGAAAAGTATTATCAAAATATAGTGAAAGTAGCGACAGTAAAAGTATTCATTGTGCAGATTGGTCCATTTCAGAATAATATGATATGTTTTATAATGATTGATCATGAAAGTGTTCTCAAAGCTGGTAAAGGAGCAGCTAGTTTGAATGACTTTGTATACTGCAGGGTAGCTTGTGAATTTACTCCAGGTGGAACTAAAGTCTGATTTAACACTTGATTAGATTTCACATCATTCATCCACATCTGTAAAGTAACTAAAGGTATTAAATACATGTAGTGGAGTAAAAGTAGAAGTACAAAGTAGCATAAAATAGAAATACTCAATTCAACTACAAGTATCTCAAAATTGTACTTGAGTAAATAAGTGTGCTTTGTTACTTCCCACATTTGAAATCAGATATGACTTCAAGTCATGTGATAATTTCTTAGTATTTGATCCTTCAACTTGGCCTAAGGAAATGCAAGGACTTCACAGTTTTGGCAACAAGTTTTGGAGAAAGCAAATCGGAGGCTTAAAAAGAGACAGGGAGGTGCATCTTCATCATCTAGCATGCAAGAAGTGTAAATTGAGGACAGTGAAGGAGACACTGAGGAGGACCACGCTTCGTGTGGGGTGAGTACCAAACGCTGTCTCTTGGTACTCATCTGAGTAACTCACTAAAAAAGTTATGTGCACCCCTGCATATAGCATGGTGTAAGAAACGGGCTCCGTGTTACCAAGACGGGCGGGGTGGTTTGGCGCAGAGCCTTTGCACCACCCGCCCGCAGCGGAGTCTGGGCGGTGCTGCAGCACCAACGCAGAGACACACGTTCACCAAGGCCGATTTTAAAATAAAGTCAACACATATCGACCCTAAATATAGTATAGTTAAGAACGAGAAACGTTTTGACATATCTTTTTCTGATATCTTCTGACAACGGTACGGGGGTGATGACGTCAGAGCATCGCCCTATTTGGGGCTCAGCCTCCGCTCAATTTAACCCCTTGTTACACCTAATATATAATAAATAATACAAAATAACCGAAGTGACTGGATAATATATGTCGACAGAATATTATAATAAGTTAAAGCTGTATTGTTGTTTTGGAAAGTATTATTATCTTGACGTTTTGTTGACTTGTTGCCGTATCCTAGAAACGGCGGCGCTAGCAACATAGCTAGGAGCTAAAGCAAAGCTAACCTGAAGCCTCATTGTAATAGACGTTGATGCGATCCAGCTGCAGGTCGCTGTCCCCCTGGTATGAGCCGGTCGGGTCGATGCCATGTTCTTCGCTTATGACTTCCCAAAACTAGAAGAGAATAAAACACAACAACGGTCAAATTACCTGCAAACTAGCATGACTTAGCTTAACGATTCGAACAGGTTGAACCCGTAGGTAGCTTTCATTAGCATTGCTGCTAAGTAGGCTAATCAACCCGCCCAAACGAACATTAACATCCACGCACTTAATGAATGAGTTAAGAATTCAAATGTAAATCTAAACTACTCTCTTACCTTAGCTCCAATTTGATTTCCACATTGGCCTGCCTGCAGATGCACGATTTCCCTCATTTTGGTTGAATTCAAATGTTCCAACCGACCGATTCAAAGGTTTGAATCTGTACTGATGCAGCTACGCACTAACCAGAGAAGATGGGAGTGCTATCAACCGTTACCCGATTAACAGGATTGGTCCAAATTCATGTCACTCAGCCTCAGCAGACATCTCATTGGTCAAAAAAATCTTAAGGGGGCGGTTTGCATACAATTTGTCCCGCCACTTTCTGGAATAGAGTGTAGATGAGCACTGTAAAACCTCAAATCCTACGTTATAATCCTTGTCCGTTTGTAAAACCTAAATACTGCCCTGTACGCCACATCCCCTGAACTCCGTCGCAAAATATATTTAATTCTGTGTGGTTTCTGTTCAGTACTTGCTTCAGTTCTTAGAAATTGCAAAAAAATTCAGCAATTGTTTTGTCATTGCTAGCTTGCTACAATATTCACATTTGCCACACGTTATTGTGTTGACTTCTCTTGTTTCTCCAACTAACATTATAACAACTCCTCTATTACACTGACTCATCCTGCCATTTCTTTTTCATTTGGGATTTCATGATGCTTGTGATCTTAGCCTTGCAATATAATATATAATATAATATATATATAATATAATATAATATACTCATACTAATTTGTCTCTTTGTCTCCAACTTTGCATATACCAGATCATTTCCCTCCACCCCAATGTGTGCAGGAATCCAGATGAAATAGGTGACCGCTCCTGCCCTTCAAATTTGTTGAAGTGTTTGTGCTATTTCCGGTACTATGTCTTGTCTTGTTTCTGAAGGCCTATGTTTAATGCTTTCCAATGCACTGCTGGAGTCAGAGCCTATCAATACCTTCCTTGTCTGGACTTCTTCCACTCAATTCAAAGCCAGAAGAATAGCCAAAATATAAGAATCCTTTATTTGCACATTTGTAATTTACTTTATTACAACAACAGACAAATAGTGCAGGTAATGTATGTATGTACTTTACCACACCATCACCATCACTAACAAGGTTTTGTATTATGTTTTCCAATTCTGTAGAATATAATTGGAGGGATGAAACCCTCTTTTATGGTCACACAAGCACACAGTGAAATTTGGCCTCTGCATTTAAACCCATCCTAGTAGGAGCAGTGGGCAGCTATTGTACAGCGCCCGGGGAGCAATGGGGAGTGAGGATGTACAGTGCCTTCCCAGATAGCAAAAAGTCATTGAATCAACATTGAGATATTGTCACGCTGAAGATTGTGATCAACATTGATGTCAGACATTGAAAATAACATGGAAAGTGCTCGCTATGATCAGCATTGAAAGAACATTGAATTTTCAATCAATCTCAACAATGAATCAACCTTGATTCAATTACGATATGATCAACATTGAAAGAATGTAGAATTGCAACAACATTGATTCAACTATATTATGCGTTGCATTATACATTGAAACAATGTTATTATCAGATAGCAAAAAGTCTTTGAATCAACATTGAGATATTGTCACGCTGAAGATTTCAATCAACATTGATGTCAGACATTGAAAATGAACTAACAAAAAAAGAGCCATTATTTATTCAGTTGATTATTACGATTTAATTCAATTATATGAACATTTTGAACATTTTTTGTCCACTTTAGCACACAAAACATTCTCTCTTTTAAAGGTCTTATCATATGCTTTTCTGGTTATTACCCATCCCCTTGTGTGTTATGTAGGTTTTTCTGCATGTAAACGGTCTGCAGAGTCACAAACCCTCAAAGTACACCCTGTAGCGAGTAAAACTCTAACACAGAAAAGACCTGTCTATGCTGCCAGGCAATGCAGCGCTGTATGGAAGCTGTCAGCCGACTCGCCCAGCCCAGCTGTGTGTGTGTGTGCTCAGGCTGAGTTCCTCTGTGTCTCGCTGTCTCGCAGACCCCATGCCATCATCATGTTCTGTTTAAAGCAGCTTTGCTAGACGTTGATAACATGCATTCTTCACATGCTGAATATATGGATTTGAAAAAATGCACGTTTTGCAACATAACACAAGTTAAGGACATTTCTTGACATAATAAACATCTAGCAAAGCTGCTTTAAACAGAAAATGATGATGGCCTTTGAACACAGATTCTGAGGATGGTTTCTGCTTCTGCTTTTATCCATCAGGTCAAAATAGGATTCACACACCTGGCATCATTGTGATAAATCAGGCCTCAGCCTCTTCAGCACATCACAATCAAAGAATTTAAGAATAAACAAATATAACAATTACAATCCAGTGCCTCTTGTCAACTGGCAACTCACAATTCCACACATTTCAATTTCACAGGCAAATGGGACTTCATGCTTAAAATGACTGCATGTGCAAGTACATACATTGAAGTTTTACCTGATCACTAACAATGAACTTGAACAGTAGAAATACTGGATATGCCCCTCTTTTGAACTGGCAACTTACACATCCACACATTCTTTGATTCTCTATTTCAGAAGAGAACTTATATGCTTAAAATGAAATGAATGCTGTGAGGTTTTACATGAGCACTAACCACAATGCACTAGAACAGGCGAAACATAGGTTAAAGTCATGTCTGGCTTCCCCATTAACATTCACAGCAAAAGCTTTGTTTTCCGAGACCTTATGCGCTGCGAGCGTCGAGAGCCAAGCTCTTAAAAGATAGTCTGAATGGCTTCAAAGGTATACCTCATCTCCTTTGGAAAATCCATGTTCATTGCATAAAGTAGGCCAAAGAGGTATGCAAAGGCAGTAGAGAGGTCTGGTAGGTCATGCAGTACAATGGTCCCTTCCAACACAACAGCCACGTCTCGCACATTTGGCGATATGGCGGCATCATCATCTTCAATGACGGTGAGGATGGCCACAGACACACCTCTGAGCAATCGTTCTTCATGGTCAGTGTCCTGAGGAAAAGTAAAATATGCATGAATGAGTGCTATGGAAAACTAAACAACAAAATACATATCCACTGATTCTAACTTTAGCACCAATCTACTGAGTCTTACCATTCAGCTTGTGGAAGTTATAATTGCAACTCAACAGCACGGCATCTCTGGGCTCAAAATTAAATCTTACACAAAGTGTATTGTGCATAAAATGATTAGCATAAGCTATGAGGTCATAACATGTTTAAGCTACATTAAGCAATATTAATTGTATTATGTAAGTTTATTTCCTACAGTTAGTATTACTTACCAAACACTCCAGAAGAAACTTGGTTGTGTCATATCGGACAAAAATGGGCAGGCCTCTCAGTGCTGCTGTCTTTCGGTGAGACACAATGTCGGATGTCTAAGGAGTACCCAGTGGAAACACACAAACATATCAATTAGTTTAGTGCCGTAGTGAATTTATACAAAATCTGACGTTCTGAGGAGGATAAAGAACAGGTCAGATCCCAGTAACATGCTTCAGTAAAAGACTGGCAAAATAAAACAAAACAAAAACTGCAATCCTGCGGACAATTCTACAAATTAAAAATACTGTTACAGTTCTCAAATTCCACCAACTAAAAACACCAAGCAATGACTTTTAACAATCCATTTTTACTGAAGCCTTTCCATCAAAGCGTTTTTGCTCCTACAAATGTTAGAGCGATGGCGAGGGGCGTAGTGTTGTTCTGTATTTCAGAGGCCTTGAACACGTGTTTGAATACATATGGACATTTGCAGCGTTCCTCAAGAAGTCTCAAAAACAGTTTGAGATCGCTGGTGTCCGAGTCACTCACATAGGCCCAATTGAAAGCAGTAATCTGTCTTTGGGTCCAAGAGTGACTCCCAAAACGACAGAGACTGATTTGGGTTGTAGTTCAGCTATTCAGTCCACCAACATTCAGATGGGTGCAAAGCATAACATTCCAAAGGGATCTTCTGAGTCTCAAAAACATTTTGAGATCGCTGGTGTTCGAGTCACTCAAATAGGCCCAATTGAAAGCAGTAATCTGTCTTTGGGTCCAAGAGTGACTCCCAAAACGACAGAGACTGATTTGGGTTGTAGTTCAACTATTCAGTCCACACTTGGCTGCACCAACATTCAGATGGGTGCAAAGCGTAAGACTCGTAAGGGATCTTCTGCTTGCAAAAAATTTAAAAAGAGTGATGTTACCGCAGTTAATTCAGACGTTGCTTTTGTCAAAGAAGTAACAAGTGGACGACTGCAGTTTAATCCTCTTAGTCATCAACTTGCACAAGCTCTTTGTGAGCAGTTACATGTGCAGTCAGAAAAAGTAGATGTTGTGTCTACACAAATTGGTTTGATAGGGGCTCCATGTCTCAATGAAAAAATAGAGGGTGACGGAAACTGTTTCTTTAGAGCAGTGAGTCAAGCTGTGTGTGGTACACAAAGCCATCACACAATAATTAGGCATGCAGTGGTTCATCAAATGCAGAGCAATGCTGTGCCTTATGAGCGTATTTTGACCTCCTCCATGTCAGAATACCTCAGCACATCCAAAATGCGTGAGGTTGGCAGTTGGGCAACAGAATTAGAAATTCAAGCAGCAGCAGATGCGTTTGGAGTTAATATATTCACATATTGTGATCCACGCTGGCTAAAATATAGTTGCGAGAACGGGCACACCACAGCCGGGACTCAGGACAGCCCAAATCAGGTTTGTTAAGGTTTTAATAATAGGTGTAGTTGCCAAATAATGATTTACCAAAAACAAAGGAATGTAAATAAATATAAAGTACATGTGATATTTAAATGTACACTGCATTTATGTCCAAATAACCCCAAAATAGACTCAATACAAATTATAATGTTGAAAAAAGTGGAAAAGAATAGAATAATATATTTGTGTGTGGAAAAAAGTAATACAAATATAGTTTTTATGACACACTATACTTTGACTTTTGACTCTATGACTTTTTAAATGACATATTATACTATAACAATGCTCATAAATACAACTATAGCGTATAGTAGTTAAATTCACTTTAAATGGTGAGCTGGTTGATCTAGTTAAACCAAATCTACGAAACATCTGAACTCAAGGTCAAGTGGCCATGGTATGCAAGTCATAAAACACTGTGAGGTGTCTCTGTAAAAAAAGACTGATGATAATGTGTATT